CATTTTGATCAATAGCCGGCATCCCATCGTGACTGAAAAATCTAAGGATTAGACTGCACGGTTATCAATTTTGCAACCCAGCTTAAGTATTTTTTTCGAATTGAAAACAAATTTCAGGATTTAGGTTGGTAGTTCTTGCGCATGCAAATCTACTGCGTGTTCTGTGGGCATGTATTTAAACATTGTTTACTTATTGCTTCCTTACTGAGCGCTTGGGCCAGGTGAACATTCCCTTGCACTAACAATCCTCATATGCGTGAATTCAAAAGAACAAGAAATATAATTCGACTGTCCTCCGATCATGGAACGTTCCTTCACTCAGTAACTTATGCCAAAGTATCGCATTTGGCAAGGCTGAAAAAGGGATACTCCGCTGAATACTCTGGTGTGCAACAAGTCGTTTTAAAAACTGTCGTTTAAATTACATGCTGAAGCTTCATTTTCTTAGCCATTTTTATCTACCTTTGATAACATTTATGCGAGGAAACGTTTCTGCTTTTGCTGTATACAATTCTAGTTTTTACGTTGGCGTGAGTTTCAGTCACGCGCAGTGTTCGTGCATTACGAAAAAAAAACTAGCTAGTAGGGAACTCCTTCGGGGCAGAACTCTTGCGTGCTTGACGTCAGCTATAGAAATAACCACTTCGTGGATGTGGATTGCGTGGCAAAATTATGCGGTAGGCTGCGTTTTCGATGTCCACTTCATGCTTTAGACGCGCATACAACAAATAAGATTTTTTCAACCAATAAACTCGAAGATAGCTAGCTTTTAAGAGGAACTTCCTAGCGTGCTGGAATGCCTAATCGCCTTGTTATTTCTCGGCATTTCCACCTGCTACCGTCATGTCACGACAGAGTCTCTTCACTTTCCTTGTCTTCTACGGCCTCTTCCTCCAACGCCCTCTCTACGGACAGGTCAAACTGAACATCCTTATCACCGAAGGAATCTGTGGACCCACATTTGAACTCTTCGACTATCCTTTCAGTGTCGTCTTCCCTGTCAAAGCCCTTGAGAGTTTGGAGGGCTGGCACCAACCTGGTGCCCCACCAGCTGTGCAACTATTTTCCGGCTTCTTCAGCATTCCAGGCTGCACTCTGAGACAAGACGGGCGAACTAGCGCTATGTTAGCCGCCCTGAGCACAATGAATGGCACAGCAGTTTTAGGAAACGAGTTTTCTG